TATATATATATATCAAATAAAACGTAATTAAAAATTAACCCTGCCTAATAATGCAGAAAACAAACTATTTAGCAGGAAAAACATATTTATTAATAACAATAATGATAATAATACATGTATAAAATAATATGATAACAAATTGTGATTAAAAAAACACTTTAAAAAAAAAAAGGCAAAAGGATCAAAAATAACCAAAACCGACCCAACAACAATAATAATAATAGATGTAAAAATAATAATATTGTGTTTGGGGGGGGGCAGCCCTAAAGAGAAGTTCAGAAGACCATTCATCTGAGCCCAGATGACCTCACATGTGAATTTTCCTCTCTAACATTTTTTTATATTTAATAATCACATAAAAAAAGCTTCGAGCGGTGAACCAGTCTTATGAGGTTACAGGGCCAGAGAATCTCAAAACGGCCTCTTTAATTCCATTCCTCACTCAGTGGGTCACGCTCAATTTTTCCCAATAGAATTGTGGCCAGCCAGATCATACGCTTCTCGTCTTATCATTCTCCAACACCATTGACAAATAATTACAAGGACCCTTTAAAAGTGTTTATTTGTTTGTATCATTCTGGAGTTCAGAAGAACATAATTCAATCTTGTTATAGATGGGTCCTGGAATAATAGTATACTGTTAAACTATTAAAGAAACTCCCACCACAACACACACAGGATTCTTTCTGTGGTTAAAATGTATCAAGGGCCTGAATGACAATAAAAAACAGCTTCAGATTAGTGGGGACTAGGGGAAAGAGGGAGAAGTCCTGCAAAGATTTTCCATTATCAAAAAGACTTACAACTTCAGTCTATCAGAAGAACAGAAGAGAGACAGAGTCAGATGGCGGACATGCTGAAAGAACTATTTAAAGACTGACGGATCATCAAGTGAAAGAAAAAATGATTCCGATCTATAAAATGGTTCCTTTATCCGCACAATAATGCATCAAAACACATTCGTATATGGGTGCCACAGGCCACATGGTGGTAGGTGGGGGTGTAGCTGGCTCTCTCTCATTAGCCGAGTGTTTGGATCAGGAGTAGCTCTTGTTACAGCAGTAAACTGCAGCTTTGAACTTTTAATAGAGCTCTGAAATCCAAGCAGCCTTTAAAATACACATTTCTGCATAACAGAGCAAGACTGAAAGAATGACTGAGAGAACGAGGGTGAGAGAGACAGTGAAAGCACAAGGGAGAACTAAACGTACAAGAGACAGAAAGCTGAGAGCTTACTAAAAGAGATTTCATAGATCTTAAACCACTTTAATACTCAATAGTCAGAAATCCCAACAACACTTAATTTCACATCAGCGGTCTGCCCAGATGTGACTCAGCAGTGGCCCTCGATAGCAAGCCCTGTGGGTCAGAACTAAAGGTGAGGCATTAACAAACTAGTTCTAATGGGGCAGAACTAGATAAACAATCATATTTATCATGATTGACAGTTTGACAGTTTGACATGATTGACGTGATACTGCAAAAGATGCAACAGTATTATGTTCCTTTCATTTCATATAATGACAAGCAAAACAAGTGGGAAAAAGTAAAATAATAAATAAAGAATATTTAAGAGCTACTGCATGCTTATTCTAAAAAATTATAATAATAATAATTTCCCAGTTTTAGTATGAATTATGTCACTCAAGCTGTTTCACTGTAGGATTCTACAAGCCCGTTTAGGGGTGAAAACGTATAAATTAAACTTGTTTTTTTTTTATGGGGGGGGAGTCATTTTTATAATGTGGTGTACAAACTGACAATATTTTAATAACTTCAACATGTACCCTTGTAGACCTTTGCTACAAAATGAACAAATGTTAAATATAGTAATATAATGTAGGTCTTTGATCTGAATTTGATATCCTGAGGTAATATGTCTATCACAAAGTTTTAATGTAAACTGTCATTCACACTCCTGAAGATGTAAACAAGAAATGGAGTAACAACTGAGTGAAAATTTAGATTTTGTGTATAAAACTCAACCAAATGACATGCTCTACTGAACAGTGCATGAGTTGGTTTATTTGAGCTAATATGTATTTACAGGCCATAGGGAAAAAACATGCGCTCCAAATGTTGCGAACTGCAAGCAGAGCCTTTATTCAATTCAATTTCTGTAACTTAAACGCTGTTCAAAAGTATATTAGAGTATGACTTACAATACATTTTCAGTCTTGAAATTTGCATTTTCCATGCAATTAATAATTAATTTTACTAGAAAATTTCTGATATTACACCAGAAATTTAGAAAATTATTACACCAAATATTCACTCACTGTAATGTCTAAATAAAAGTGTTTTTTTTTTATTGGTTGAAACTTATCTGCCTAAAACACAAAATGTGCATCTTACAGCTAACATACATTAGCTTAATTTGAAACTGTCCAAACAAGTAGAATTTTAGAGCCTCCCAATGTCACTGGCATATCCGAGTTAAACTGGAGCGCCACAGGGACTAACACATGGGAAAAGACACACAAATACATATACATTCATGCCCTCAGGCAGAGTCAGCACCCCCTCTCCCCTGCTGAAGTCTCTAATCATGTCCAGGAACACGAAAGACAAGTCGAAGCGCATTTTCCCAGGGTTCACAGCAAGCAGGCACTTTTGAGACCAACCACTGCCAATCAACGAGAGAGAGGTCAGGCGGACAGAGGTGTCACATGACAACACAGACAGGTGGACTACGCAGGTGATCTCTGATGTAAATTAAATTATTGAAACAGTTTGTTGGTGAATTTATGTAGCTTTGTAGTATTATAAATGGGGGAAATAAAGACCAGCAACGCAGTAAAATAAAGTTAAATAAAATCCTAATGTTAAAATTGTAAATTAATGTAATGTACCAAAATATTAAAGCCCTTAAATAGAACAGATTCACTGCGACTGACACGGAGGTCATTTCTTTTAACTCTGTGTAGGCCACAGAGACAGAGGGATAAAGAGTTTATGTTATTTTTCATTTCCTGGGAATTGGCCTTGTTTCCTTGTTTCCACAGCTCGACTGCTGCGCTTCTGTATGCAACTTATCGGATCACTTATCAGTCCGTTTGAAGTGCTCAGTGTCTCCAAACCCCACTCCTGCACCCACAATCCCAGCTTGAACATTAAATATTCCTTCCTTCAACAGAATGGCGGCGGTCCAGAGTCAGAGCCCACACGGCTAAGCAAATAAAAGAAGCCATTGCATGTATCTTGGCAAAGACATATCATCAGATAAACAATTTTTCAAAAAGCTAACACAGAACTATGCACAACCCGAGACAATATCAACAAATATGTCCTGTGCATTTTCAGAGCGATATTAGACAGAGGGCTTTACAGTTTAATACAAACAAACAGACAGGCTTTCAGTGGCCATGCATGAACCATGGTCTGCCTTTAATTCTTTCTAATACGTACAATAATAATCAGAACATGATATCAATAATAATATTCTATTCTTTTTGATGTCACATCAAAATATATTAAAAAAAAACTTTTTTGTGCTTAATAATACAAACATTTATGAAATATCGTATGTTATCAATTAGTGTACAGGGATAAACTGTGTTTTGATTTGGGTAAACTATTAAATGTTGGTGTCTGATTTGGAAATCACTACAAAAAATATTTAAAAATGTCTATACAAAACAGGTCAACGTAAATAATATATTGACTTTTTATGTATTGTCCTGTTTAAGGCTGAATAATAATCATTTTTATTATTATTATTATGTTGCTGATGTCGTTGTTTATTGTGCATAAGTTTTCCTATTATTATTGTTTGTATATATTAATTTGCCTATGATGATATCACATACTAAGCCTTTACTATTTACACATCGAAATTACACTTGAAATATTTTCAAACAATATAGTGTTTTGGAATTTACTAATCTGTATGTAAAAAAAAAAGAAAAGAAAAAAAGAAGAAAAAGCACTTGTTTTTTCAAACCTGTGCTTAATAATACAAACATTTATGAAATATCGTATGTTATCAATTAGTGTACAGGGATAAACTGTGTTTTGATTTGGGTAAACTATTAAATGTTGGTGTCTGATTTGGAAATCACTACAAAAAATATTTAAAAATGTCTATACAAAACAGGTCAACGTAAATAATATATTGACTTTTTATGTATTGTCCTGTTTAAGGCTGAATAATAATCATTTTTATTATTATTATTATGTTGCTGATGTCGTTGTTTATTGTGCATAAGTTTTCCTATTATTATTGTTTGTATATATTAATTTGCCTATGATGATATCACATACTAAGCCTTTACTATTTACACATCGAAATTACACTTGAAATATTTTCAAACAATATAGTGTTTTGGAATTTACTAATCTGTATGTAAAAAAAAAAAGAAAAGAAAAAATGATGAAAATGCACTTGTTTTGTCAAACCCTCTGTGCAAAATGTGTCTTCAGCTCTTTAAAGCAGTTTGTTAATCTGTGCTGCCCTCTGCTGGTCAGTTCTCAAAAATAATTTGCTTTTCAAATGAAGCATATTTTAAACTCTTTGACCGATTTTAACTATTTGAAACGTACAGGCTGAAGCACGTTCCTGCCACCATGTACCAACACGAGCTCGGAGCATTTCAGATACTGCTGTAGTCACGTACAACAACGACGACGACATTTCCCGTCATGCACTGGACACGTTGCCATAGCGCCACGTTGGTTTACCAACAAGCATGGCGAACAGCCCGTCTCGTGTCTTTGCTGCAGTTTCACCGAGTGCTGGTGATGTTTACCGAGACGAAAACGAATCGGTGTTTAACCGGGGCCGCAAGCAAACACCCTTACACACTCAAAGCAACGCAAGAGTGGTTCAGATGACGGGCTGTGCGGAGTTATCGTGTCCTCCGGACCGCGCCACCGTCACCATCAGCGTCAAAAACAGTAAAGAACATGTTAACGACGTGACTAACAGCGTTACCCGAAGACTGGAGTACATACTACAGACTGCGAGACAGCATGATGTCAAGGTGCTAAATCATTAAAATCTGTGTATTTCTAAAGAAGGTAAGAACAAACAATTCTAATAGTTTCTTTCCAAACAGGAAGAAAACATCACTGTGACCAAGCATTTACAAAGAGAGGAAGAGCTCTTCCACATGCGAGCTGAGGTGCGATGGATAGTTGTTGCATGCGTCCTATTTTACCTATTTTATAACATATTTGCGCTTTAATTATCCATTTTGTCTGTGCAGGTGCTTGTGGTGTTTTCAGACTTTGAGAAGATGCAACAAGCACGCTCAGTTTTGATTGAAAAACTCGACAAAAGCGTGTGTGTTGGTGACCCTTACTACAGTCACAGCGCTGAAAGTCTGAATTTGTTAAGGTAAACAATGCTTGAACAATGTCAGTCCTCATATAAACCTCCACTGTTTGCCTGAACATAGCTTTGTTACATGAAATTAATTAATAAGCCTGTTTGAAAGAATGTCAAAACATTTTTATGATCTATTCTGCAGACGGCGAGTATGTTTGGAAGCTGTGGACAACGCCCGGCTAAAAGCCAGCGAGGCGTGTTGCATTCTGGGACAAGCTCTGGGACGGCCGCTGCTTGTACGTGAGGAGGAATCACGAGAGTGGACCAGCGGCCAGCATGAAGTGACTGACTCTCCTCCAACACTACATCAGAAGACTGGGGTTACATTAGTCTCTGCCTCTTCACGTGTATTTGTGGCCTTTGAATTGCGACCAATGGACAGCAACAGGAGGAAATGAGTTAAAGTTTCTGTTTAGCAATATTCATAGTACATGTTATTTCATTTATTTGCTGTTTTAACCTGTAAACACATAGTCCTGTTAAGTGAGCACCATAGATATTCACAAAAGGGCCTAAAAATAAAGATACCACTTGTTCCTACTGGTTTTTAACCAAATTCCAGAATATATTAAATAGCACTGTGTGAAACTCAAAAGATCATGCTAAAATTTGTTCCAAACATTGATAGAAATCAAGGCTAAATTCTCAAAGTTTAACGAATGTGTTAGATGAGCCTGTGTTTGAATAGGGAATACATGTACTGTATATTGTTGCATGAATGTGTCTAGACTTGCACACGTTCATTTCTGACAACAGCATATGGGCTACACATGTGCTAGATAACTAGAAAGATCTTACTCACTGCCTCTAACATGATTTGTCTTTAAAGTTAAACTCGCACTGGATTTCGAGGGGGAAAGTAAAATAGTGTGAAATAAGCTACTTGTTTCTGTGATGCTCCACCCATCTTTATATTCTCTTATACTTGCTTTGTCAGATGATCTAGCTTCATGGCACTAAACAAGACATTCATATCTTGCCTCCTTTAATATATATAGGTGAGTGTTTACCACCTGCCCTGGTAATAGATGTCAATTCTTGCATGACCTACAAACAGATTCATTTAGGCTTTGTGAAAATCTATTAGGAGGAAGTGACAGGAAAACCACTAGGGTTTGACGCAGTAACTAACTTTTCTTGATAGGTGAGGAAATAAGCTAAAAGCAAAGAGGACTGTATAGAGAGAAGAGCCTGCAGATTGTAAACAATAATAGCGCAAAGGGAGCATAAAGATACAGTCAGGGGCCTGTACCATGAAGCTGGATTAGCTGGCTAGCCAGGTAAGTTTTTGCACCAATTCTGGGTTTTATGTACCATGAAAGTGGCTTAGCTTTTAGCAGCATTCATTGCCTTAGTAACTTACGCTCCACAGCTAACCTGATCTGGGGCAGGTTATGGTCTGGTTTAGAGATCTCAAACCCAAATTTGACCAATCAGCGTCAAGCAAAGTGACGCATCTCTGACGCAATAAAGCCACTCCCCCAGTTTCTCTTACTCCAAATTAAAGGACGCTACATAGTAAAACATTTTTAAAGATAATATTGTCTGATTTTTTAGAGATGGTTATTTTTTATAATTATTTTATATTATGTATATAATTATTATACCCTTAATCCATTACACAAGCTAGCTTAGTTTATTTTAAATTTATATAAACATAGATAATATGCAATATAAATAAGTTTTAAAATCAATAGCTTGACTATATGAACTATATGAGCTTAGATTAAGTGTTTTTATACCTATAAATATCAACTCTATAACTTTTACATGTTTTCTTTAAGTTTTCCTTTTTCATGGATAGATCGTTTCATCTTGTAAGTGTGTTTAGATTCTTCATATTGTTGAATATTTTAATCTTTGGTAGTGAATCGCACTGACTCTCTTGCCAGAAGTGAATCACAGTTTCAAGGCATGTCATTGGCTGTTCATTACTGATGTCACTCTTTCATGTGCACGTGCTTCATTAACTCAGGATCAAGCCTGAGTTGACAGAGAAAGTTGATGATCAGCTTCATGGTACCAAAAAAGCCAGATTGGACTGGTTTGGTTTTGTCAACTCAAAACTAATCCTGTAACCCTGAGTTTGTTCAGCCACCGTCATGGTACAGGCCCCAGGTCTCAGGTCTGATTTGGATTAAGCTAAGAAACAGGCCGTCAAAGTGGATGTCTAAGTAAACTTGATTATTTTTGCCTAAAGGACAGCAAGCAATCAATAAAACCCCACAATGGGCAGTAAAAGACCAAAAACACAGGCACAAAACAAGGATCATAATAATGACTACAAGCATCCCTGAACAGACAATAGGCTTGAGTCAAACGAAAAGCCCAACTTGGCCTACAAATATGTAGTTTCTGTGCTACTAGAGTCATCTAACGGAACTACAAAAATAACGCATGCAAAACACTTTCACGCTTCATGCCTTCCCCAGATCAAACATCACAAACACAGCTCTAACAGGTCTATAAAAGTGACTACATGTAGGCTACATTCAATAAAGGTTCCAACATATTAGGAATACTTTTAACGTGAAGTTTAGCTTGCCTGTCGAGAAGAAACTCCGCAAGCTCGTCTGCCGACTGACACCCAAACATTCCATCAAATTCCTCCATCTTGTAAAACCACCGCCAATGTTTTATTTTGGTAAGGTTTCGAAATTTGTTGCACTTGCTAATAACGCACTATAACCGACTGAACACCCTTTGGCTCAGCCTGCTACAGTAGCCACGCCCCAAACTCTCGCTATTGGCTGAGCGGAGATACATAGGTTGACAGGCAGGTAGGACATCCTATCATTGGACGAACATTTTATGGCGAGATCTCCACAGAAGCAAAGCGAAATATTAGGCTTGTTTGAGATGGCCTCGCCTGAAATGAAGGCGAGAGTAGGCGGCTGCAGTGAGGGGAGGAGTGAAATAAGCACAGTCAAGACGGACAGTTCTGACCTCTCGAAGTAAACAGATACCTACGAGATTACTTATTTTGTTACTGTCTTCTTGCACTGTTTCATTACATTAATGTTGTTCATCTTTTTCTATTTTTCCTTTACATTTCAATGTTTCTCGTTGTATTGTTCTGATGTATGGCATATAATAATAATAATAAAAAAAGATACCTACGAGATCAAAGGCAGATATCGCATAGTGCTGTGCTGCTGATTAACATGATATGATTTCAGTTCTGTTGCCTTTATATAAAAATAAATATGATGAACAAGACACTCAAAGATACCTACGAGATCAAAGGCAGATATCGCATAGTGCTGTGCTGCTGATTAACATAATATGATTTCAGTTCTGTTGCCTTTATATAAAAATAAATATGAACAAGACACTCAAAGTGCTTGCTATTTAATTCCATACGAAAGGCGTATTTATCATCCATTTTTACTTTAATACAAAAATTTTAGATTTTTATAGAAATATGGCAACAATCACATTATCTCACACAGAGATGGCACTGGCATAGTGTTTGGGAACATTCATGCATAATTTAAATAAATCAGATAGAAAATAAAATATTTTAGAAGAGAACACAGCATCACGGTTGCCTGAACCAATGAGCATTAAGCTGTGTCGTCAGTCAGTCGTTTCCCATCATGCTTTTGATCAGCGCAGTCGGTGGAGAGCAACTGCGCTCGACTGCACAATCCGACACAGCCGCCTCGCCGTCGCGAGTTTTTTGCAACAAGTCAGCATGACATCAGAGCAAGTCGGACGTAACTCGGACACTTTTCTAACCAGCATGCATCTCGCTGTGTCAAACAAGCCTAGTGACAACCACCTGCTCAGATGCAAAGCGAAATATTGACAACCACCTGCTGTTAATGAACATTTTAATAAGAGTTTGAAACAACACACGACCATAACGACTACCACACTATTTTCATGACTGCTATTTATGGTTCAACACTCCAAAAAAACCTCAAGCTTGAAGGAAAAAGCACGCCACATACCTGCATGTGCCGAACACGTGACAATGGCCTAGATCTCAGCGACATGTTCATGCACTTAAACATGTCAGATTTTTTTAATGAATATGTGTTTTTGGAGGACCAACGTGTACTCGGCGTTTCCCAATGCATTATGGGAATGGCACATAGAATGATGGCTTTTAAGAAGGAAAAACACAACATTTCAAGTAGGCCTATTTCAAATAAATTAAACTTTAATAAGAAGACATGTTTGTATCAATGGCTTTACTTTGAACACTGTTTACCACATTCTCAATACTGTTTTAAACAACAAATCCTTCTATTTTTCTCATGTAAATAAATATGCTATGTGGTATTAACAGAAAGTTAAAGTAATTCATTTTCTGGAACCCATCTGAGTCAGATCAACATGTGTGTATTTTGACCCAAGGGCATTTTGAAACATTTCATTTAATCTATAATTGACCTTTAACATCACAGTCAATTTTCTTCACAACTTTATCCCTTGCAAAGTCTGCAAGTCATTAATCTTTTTAAGAATATAAAACGGGAATACTAAAAATTGCTTTTTGTGTTTTTTTTTAGTTCTGCCCTGAGAAAGCAGACTAAGACAAGTCTAAACAAGACTAAGTTTAATAACTGAAATTACTCAGTCTATATTTATATGGGGTGTGTAAACAAGATATATCTCTCAAATTTTCTTGCTTCCTTTTGTCTTTGTGCTTTTCGATTGCTTTAAAAGAATCAATACTGTCAATGAAGGGTAGCACATCATGTCTGTGTTCTCAAGCATTTCAAAGTGTTTTTAAAACCTCTCGGGTTTACACTCCTTCAGTCGTGAGGGTAGATTTCTTGCAACCATTCCTCCATCACAAACTTTTCCCCATCGAAGTGTGAAAAATAGTGCTGTAGAGCAGGAATGTCCGGCTGTAGCACAAGACAGACACAGATACTGATTAAGATGGAACCTTACGAAACTACCAAGAAAACACAAAAGTTATAAGAAGGAAATAAAGGTAAAAGATTTCTCTGTACCTGAAGGCCTTGAAAGAGCTTGATATTATACTGGGGAACGTAACCAATCAATATTGATGAGGAATCGGGTCCACTGAACATAATTCTGTAATGAGGAGTGTCCTTGGCTCTCTCCAGCTACACACAAATACACCTTTTTAATGGACTGCTGTTATATTTCTGTGGTTTCAGGTTCATTGTCAGGTCATCATTTACACTCTTACAATTAAAAGGTTCTTTATTGGCATTGATGGTTCTGTGAATAACCTTTAACATCCACCTTTTGAATGCACAAAATAGAGTTGGGGTACTTGGACTTGGACTCATATTCAGACTTGGGACTCCACTCCGGTGGACTAGGACTCTGACTTGTACTTGGGCATTTTGGACACAGAACTTTTTCAGAGTACAGATTATTCCACGTCATGTATAACGTGAAAGATAAAAAAATAAGTAACAACATAAAATTAAGATAAAGACATTAATAAATGTCTTCCACTCAAACTCAATTGGTTAAAGACAAGGACTCAGACCAAAGGTGGACTCAGACTCAGTTCTTTATAGTGGTTCTTTAGTTTATTTAAATGCTTTTCACACTAAGAAAAGTTCTTTTAAGAACTGATCACTGAAAGGTTTTTTGGGGAACCCAAAATTGGTTCTTCAATAGCTTATCACTTTGAAAATCCACTTTTGGAACCTTTATTTTTATTTCATTTAAATGAAAATAGTTTTTATGTACTTTACAAACCTCTGAGTATTTCATTCTCTTGATCCACTCTGGTGGGACTCTGAGTCCTGCATCCCATCCTACGATCACCCCCACCATATTATTCTGTGTCATCACAACTTGGCCTACACGGTGCAGCACGTATGCCGGCCTGGGGCTTCGCACCTCCTTTGACACTGAACAACAATAATCTGTCATGTTCTGTTGCTTGTATTTTTCCACATAATACACATTCATATCACAGATAAAAACAAAGTAAGTTTTAATGCCAGATTATATAAATATATATACACTATCTAAATGACTGCTTTCATTTGAGATAATTCAGACAAATTACCTGCAAAGTACCCATGCTCATTGTCATGCATCATCAACTCGATTGCAAGCGCTTCTTCCAGAGTTTGATACTCCTCTTCCTCTGCGAAGGTCCTGTAACATGACATGACATCCCACTTCAGCATCGGAGTAAATAAGAATTCATTTAAAAAGATAATTAGCATTAGACTTACGGTAGTTTGGGAATCCAGGCATTTAGCCAGTCAACCCAAGCAGCTGTGTTCAAGTAGGATTTTCTTATGGAGTCCCATGTGTCAAGGATTCTGAATACGAAAGATGTAATGGAATATTTCAAGCAGCGACAACAGCACCATACAGTGTCACATGTTTAACTTTTTTTTGTTTTTCTGTTGGAAATATTTCAACTTCCTAATTGAGAAGCACAGTACCAGAGTGCTAAAGAAACTGATTAAAAATGCCTAACCACCAAACCTGAAATACCGTGTCTAAGAATTTTTTAAATAAAAATTTATATTTTAGGCAAAAATGTTATGAATGTACACTACCGTTCAAAAGTGTGGGGTCAGAAGATTTTTTGATGTTTTTGACAGATTTCTTTATGCTCACCAATGCTGCATTTAAAATACTGTAAAACAGTAATACTGTGGACTACAGTTTAAAATGACTGGCTTCCATTTTAAAACATTTTAAAATGTAAGTAATTACTGGGATGCCAAAGCTAAATTTGTCTTTAGTGTCACATGATCCTTTAGAAATCATTCTAATATGACCAGGGCCGGATTTACCTCTTTTCGTGACAAAGGCAAAACACATTTGTGGGCCCCCCTTCCCTATTAATATGTTAGGCCTAATATCACCACCCAAGCAAACAAAAATATTTCTTAATCAGTGCAAACCGTTACAGTGTTTTCTATTGCAATAAGCGCTTGCATTCAGTCAATAAAAATCGAATGTAGTTCTTAATTTGTTTGAGAACTGAGAAAGACCACTTCGGGAGTGCATTATTTCTCTAATAATTTTAACGGCCTGGAGTCACAACCACACATCAATACTGTTCAGATGATTTGTTTCAAGACATTTGACATGTTTCCGTCCTGAAATCTCGTGTGTTATACTAATTTTTTACGCACCTCATCCCAAACCTTCCGTTGCAAATTCCAAAACGTAATTTTAGAGCTAATAACGGCGGCTTGAGCCATTGATATGCAGGCTAATGCAGTCTAATGCGGTTATTAGAGAGAGAGAGAGAGAGGGAGAGAAAGATTAAGCGCGTGTACTAACAGCGAATCTTTAAGTTAAACTGCTTCAAGAACCTTGCAACTGAGAAATGTCATGTAGCTTTTCAGCTGCGAAACTATTTTACTGATAAACTCGCGGTGCAGTGCTGACAAGAAGTTTCTGTTTGCACTGTGTGTGCATCTGTGAGAGAGACTGGGAGAAAGAAAGCCTGATTTCCGTAGCCTACATAAAAAAGGTGGAAGACCTGGAAATAGTTTGTCATTTTATTTTTTACCCTATTGTTTGTTATATTTATTTGCTCAATGTCTTCTGGGGTTTTGGTTCTTTTACTGTTGTAGATAGCCCATAGTAGGCCTAGGCTATAACAAAAATATTATATATCTCTTCATTGTGTTTGGGCCCACCTGGACGAGCGAACATAGGCACGTGCCTAGAATGCCTATGCTTAAATCCGGCCCTGAATATGACGATTTGCTGCTCAAGAAACATTATCTAGCTATTACTATCAAAGTCTAAAACAGTTATGTTGATTAATATTTTGCGTAAATCATGATAGGCTACATTTTTACAGGATTCTTTGATGAACTGAAAGTTAAAAAGAAATGAAATGATTGTTACTTTTGATTAACTTAATGCATCCTTGCTGAATAAAAGTATTTAAAAAAATAAATCAATAAATACTGACCCCAACTTCTCAGTTGTAGTGTATAAGAGAGGATACAATGCAGTTTTTTAAACACCTTCTTCATTTGAAATAGTCCCGTAGTGTGACACACACACACACACACACACACACACACGTGTTTACCTCTGAGTGGCGATGTGTCGTTGTGTCGCCGTGCCGCTTGTCCATTTGGAGATGAGATACTGCGCAGGTAGAGCTGACAGCAGGAGCGTCAGCTGCACGATCACACCTAACGTGATCTGAGGCATCATTGCCTGTACATTCAATATGACAGAGATTTCACATCAGCACATTGTTAGCCTACTGTTGTAACTTTTGCTGTTACTTTATCCAAAGCGACTTACAAATGAGGACGATAAAAGCAGTCAAAACTAACAAAAGATAATAAATATATAAATAAAAAATAAATATATATAAATTATATTTTTATATATAATTTTTTTAATGTATATAATTGGGCTTGTGGTACATTTTCCTATATACATTTCCTATACCTTTTCATATGGATATATATATATACAATGTATATATATACTGTATGTAATATAGTAATATGTAATATGTAATAATATAATTTTTTTTATGTATATAATAAAACTAGTGGTTTATTGCATGTGCAATTCCAACTAATGTACGAAAGAGGGCGCTGATCTCCATGAAATGGTTTATCATCGACCATTTAATGATTTGAAATGTTATCTTGACCCTCATAGTTACATTTAGTATATTATCAATATGATGCATGTTCATATTAATATTTATCTGATGCATGTAAGGTAACAATCCTTGGAATTATAAGAGCAAAATTTACTAGCTTTCTCTAGCTAAAGAAACATTGTAGTTTAGTTAAGTTTTAAATTCGCAACAGAAATGCCTGTAATGTTATTGGAAATCACAATTTTTGTTTTCCCTGATATGTCCAGGTTTCCCATGAGTGAAATGATAACACAACTATGTTAAAGAATGGAAGCACAAGACAGTATGTGGAAACACAAATGTTTATTTCCTTAAAATATCAGTATGAACTAATGTGACAGCAGTACACCCTACACATACATTCTATTTAACGTCTTTATTTACACTTTTTCCTTTATATAAAAGTATACAAACTAACATAGAAAGACCTCTCAGTCTGAGGATATAAGACTGGAGAGGGGAAAAAAGACCCTGACCCCACAAACATGACTGTACCTTCAGATTTAAAAGACCGGAGAATATACTAACATGCATCCATCTTTGATCTCCTCTAAAACCTGTCAATCAGTTTGTGAGATGTCACTTCCTGTGCAGTATGGTGGCAATAGAGGGGTCGTGACTCGTGAGTCAGATATAATACAGTTTTCATGTAGCAACAGATTATAAACGCCAGCTCAATAAACATGGGTCTTGTACATAAACACACACACAGAAATGGACATCACATACACTCAAGAGTCTCATTCAAAGGCTTTGGTTCATCAAACCAGTTTTAAAGCTATGGGCTGGATTAGCTCTATCGTAATGGATGACCCAGACCACAACTGCTGAAAAGTACGCAAGAACCGACAAAATCACATAGCGACAAACCAGACTGAATGTAATCCAGCTCTCTTATAAAAGAGACTATGCTGCATATGTGAGTCCGGACTTCAAGGTGGGATACAATACCTTAATTCTTCAGTTTTACATCACAGACACGTACATACACACAAAAAGTCAAGGCACATTCAAAACACAGAATACGACATGCACACTGCCTCTTTGTGTGATTCGCTGCCCTGCGGTTTCTACTTAAGCCGAGTCGATGCATCAGAACGGGAAATATCAAACACAGTGTTTCAATGTGATTGGGCAAAAACAAAGTCCTCTCTGCTAATGAAATAAGCAGTTCCACAGTAATTGAATGAGTTTAGCTAATACAGAGAAAGAGTCCTGCTCACTGAGCTACATGAATCTACAGGTACAGTGTTGAGACAGTGAGGCAATGAACTTAGCTACACACATATAATAACAACTGTCAAAAATGGTTTGGAGGAGCATCAAACAGTGGCATCAAAAGTATTTGAATACATGAGAAATGCCTTAAAATATATGAATGTCATTGCATTAAATATCAAAATATCAAACTAAGAGGCACTTTAGAAGAAAGCAAAATATTTCACAAAAAACTGGTTTATTGTTCCAAGTGAAAATAAATTATTTGGATACTTTCTGGTTGTTTAATGCCATGAACTACTGTGGTTGGTCTACTAGAACACCAGCGTAAACTTAAGGGGAATATCCCCCGCCCCAAAAAAATACAAAATAAATAATAATAATAAAAAATGATCAAACATTTAAGCATATGAGTTTTTAATAAATGAATCAAAGTAGTTACAATCAATTGTACACTATTTTTCAAAAGTTTTGGGTCAGTACTTTTTTTTTTTTTTAAATAAATGAGTATTTCTGTTCAGTAAATGGATCAAAAGTGACAGCAAAGAAATTTACAGTTACAGAAGATTTCTATTTCAAATAAATGCTGTTTATTTGAACTTTCTATTCATCAAAAAATCCCGAAATTTGAAAACTGTATCACAGTTTCCACAAAAATATTAAGCAGCACAACAGTTATCAACAATTAATAATAAAAAAAAATGTTTCTTGAACACCGATGAGCATATTTCAATGATTTCTGAAGAATTATCTGACACTACAGACTGGATTAATGGTTGCTGAAATTCAGCTTTGCCATCACAGGAATAAATGTATTTTTAAACATATGTTCAAATGGAAAACAGTTATTTTAATAACATTTTACAATATTTCAGTTTTTACTGTATTTTTAATCAAATAAGCACAGCCTTGGTGAACATAAGAAAAAGCCCCAAATGAAAATGCTGCTTGTTTGAAAATGTTTTGCATTTCACTTGCATCAATTTTGAGATAAAAAAAAAACATTAATAATAATTCTAAATTAATAATGATTTATCATTAATATAATAAGTCATATAATTAATTTTCAAATTGATATATAAAATTATCAGCCATATTTTCAAAAACTGCCACGGAAAGTGAAGTTAGTTCTGAGAAAATCTCCACCATCATTTGTTTGCAAAAGCCACCTGATTTGATATTTCATTCTCTAATGCAATGACATTCACACATTAAAACTGGTTTAAGTGTCCAAACACTTTTTTGTGGCCACTGTATTTATAAGTCTTGGTTCTAGTTAGGGATCACAGTGCATTTTGGGAGCCTGATTAAACAGGCATGGAGTGATGATGTCACTATCATTACACACCTCAACAACTGCATGAACTCAACACGCGCACGTGCACACATACACACACAGTGGTCATGGGTAGATATGCTGCTCACTAATCTCTATCCCAGCAACAGATCAAAAACACACGTTTGTACTGGATAATCAATGCGCAAAAGCATCAAACACACTTTCTCTCATAACTTGGGGAGTACAAAGGAGCCAAAATTTATTGAATGTATGAAAAGGCACAAGGTATTGCTAATTATATAAAAACATGCGTGAATTACCACTGCCACTGATCTTGACTGGCAGAGAAAGACGTTAAAAAGACAACATGTGATTTATGAGGTCCTTCTCTGCACTCCACTACTGCTTTACAGCCACTTACACAATGATCTGTTAAAAATAGATTTTTCTGAACAAGTGTTTGATTTGTCGCCCTTAGCAACAACCGTGTAAAAACAATGCATAAAATTAACAGTTTAAAGAAACAAGACAGAGTAAAAGAAGTTATTTCACACTCACACACACTTGAACATCCTCAAATAAGTGCTTTCTTTAAAGATGAAATCAGGTATTTGGATTCATAAGACTGTATAAGTCCCTTTCTTCACTGGCATTCAAATAGTGCATATGAAAATCAGTATTTAACTGCATTTGTGATTTTTCTGTGGAAGAAAATGTATCAGGTGATTTCAAGGGGTGATTTTATCAGGGGATTTCGAGGGGCTGTGACTCTTGAAGTCACCAAAAGAGTCAAAGATTCAAACCGTGAGAATCTATTTAGAGAGTCCGAATGAAAGATTCAGATAATCATGAGTCTGATAGCAGCAGGAATGGTTTCCCCTCTCCAGTGGGGCGAGGATAAGGGGTTGTGTCGCATAGGACATGCAAAGTTGGCATTGTTACCAGCCAATAAGGTTGGCTTTGGCCTTCTCGGTGAGCTTGCGGACTCTCCCTTTGCTTGACGTGCCGAAAGTAATCGAGGCATCCTCAAACAAAAGCTGTCTTTGATCTTCTTCAGAGTCTTCTTCGTTATAGAAAGCTGTCCTTCGGCCCTGGTTACGCGTTCTCATCTGCCCTTTCGAGCTCCCATCCTCTCCCATATAAATGTCAGGCTCCTCCCCCAGGGCGGGGCCTGGTGTAGGGGGCGTGGTTTCTTCGTTGCCACGCCGACTGCTCCTTCTGAGAGCTTTGGGGCTTGAAGGAGCTGGGGTATCCGGCGTCCTGATGACTCGTGGTCTACCTCGTGGTTTCGAACACTCTGGAGTCACTACCCCTGAATCGGAAAGACTACTGTCCTGGGCTGTAGAAGAAGCCCCGCCCTCATCACCAGTAGACAGATGAAGCTCCTCCTCGTGGGAGGAGCTTCTTCGTAGGGACTCCAGCTCTTTCTTGCTTTTCCTCCCTCTCTTTTTTCCAGAGGCCTGGGATAGTGGGGGTGACGGTACCACTACTGGCGTTCGTATTTGTGTTTCTAATCTCGGTCGGCCCCGACCTCTTCGTACCACTCCCAGAGTCACTTGACTATGACCATTCAAATGCAAACTGTTTTGAGGAGAAGAGTCATGCTCGACTAGACCTAAGAGAGAATAAGAATATAATTACAGATCAAACATTCATATATTCATGCAACAGATGCTTTTTTCCAACATGGCTAACAATATATTTCAATTTTTTTAATCAGCATGTGCGTTCCCTGGCAATTAAACACATGACACATGGAAAGATCCATGGATTTCCACTTCACACGGCTGTCATTCACAACATTCTACACATCACATCATGTTTGTTTATTAAATTCTAATTTTATTTTGCTTTAAGCTATGATTAAGTGTGTAACAATCTGCAAAATTCTAGAGATTTTCCCAACATCAGTGCAGAAAAAAAAAAATATATATATATATACATATATATATATATATATATATACACATGTATATATATATATAAAACATTAAAAATGAAAACACACAAAAAAGATTAAAGGGGTCATATGATGTTGCTAAAAAGAACATTACATTTGTTGCATCTAGTGGGGACATAATTACGGATTATAATGACTTCTACTGTCTTTTTACACGTTGCGTTGCCTCACGCCGCGTAAACATAAAACCATGTCGGCATTTGTGATCGGAGAAATGACAAACAACAAGTGCTACTCTACACTGCTCAAAACTCGCATTTGAATCGTCAGTGGCAAATTCTTTAAATATAAAAAACGTACTTACACTCTGTAAGTCAGAACAGCCGGCATTGTAGTCTACTCTACCAGGATCAGGAAACAGTTCTCCATAAAATGCGCCGCACACATCTGAATATTTGGGTTGAACTGTTCTGGAACAGTGTTGTAAATACAACTTAACAACTGATTTCTAGTCGTGTCCTCTTTTGGAAGGCCAAACAAAGTAGTTTCGCTTTCACAATGAAACACACAGCATCACACACTGTGGCCTTGAGTGAGCGGAGGCTGGCGGGTTAGAGTGAGGAACGGCGTGGCCGGCGGATTCGACGAAGGAGCACAGCGCCTTCACGACATTGCGGCAGCGGCAACAATAATACTACAGCGAGAATAAAAGTTACGCCTTCTTTCTTTGCATGAACATTTGGGCGGCGTTATGCAAATCTTCCCACATCGTGATGTAGACATGTGGGGGCGTGTTAGAACGAGCCGTTTTAGGTAGGCGTGGTTGACTCTTAACTTTTATATAGAATATCTCTTTGGATTTGAGACTTTACAGATGTTCTTTAAGCACCAAGAGCTTGTAACACTCCAAAGAGAAAGGAAATATTGAAATCGCATCATATAACCCCTTTTAATCATGTCAGAACATTTAAATCCGAAGAAGTATTCTCAGTTCAGTTTAAAATGTTTTACCACATCTAGAAAAATCTAAATTTTCCCCAACATTAGTGCAGAAAAAATATATAATTTTTTTTTTTTAAATCAAAACAAAAAAGTTACAGTCATTAAAAACATTTAAATCTGCAGAAGTAAATTTCAGGAAAAAAACCTGAAATATGCAGAAGTACTTTAAGTTCATTTTAACACATTTTACTATTCAATAATCTTCGCCCAAATCCCTGTTTTAACATTTGTAAAAATTTTTAACAATATTTACTGCTGAAATCAGCAAAATTACACAGATTCTCCACAAAATCAATGCAAAAGAAAGTTTTAAATCAATTTAGGAAAAAGTTTTAATGAGCAGAAAAAAGGTGATTGATTTCAACTAATGCTTAGTTTAATCATCTGTTACTGACCTGGTGTGAGTTTTACAGGTGTCCGAAGTTTCCTACGAGACTCTCTGGCCCCGCCCTCATTTGTGTGGGGAACTGCAGAGCTCTCGGTTTCCCTGGAGACACCAATGGAGTGAGAGTTCTGGGTGCGCAGGACTCTAGAGGAGGGCTCTGCTGTCTTACTGTGGGTGGGTGGAGGGGGAGGAGCTGACTGTGTAGAAGGTGCGTCTGTGAGTTGTGTTCCAAAGCGGGCCGAGCTACGTGTCCGACCAGGGACAACAGGAGGCTCAGCCCTGCTGTTGATTTGTGGATGTGTTTGCCGTAAAGAAGGAGCCCGGGAAGGTCCAGCAGGAGTGGGCGGAGCTGCATTGTTCGATCGAGGAGGAGCACGAGACGAAACCCGCCGCTTCCTTTCTGGACTACAAATCAGAAAAGAAGAAAATGTATATGCAACGTTTAGAAACAGTGACTAATTCTAGAACATAATATTTTGCAATGACCAATCAGATGCTGTTTGTACCTAGAGGCGGAGCTTGAAGGTGAAGAGCTCTTCCTCCTCTTCACAGACTGTCTGGTCAAACGCTCTGTGTGCAGCCGCTGACGGGTGAATCGCTCACTGTGCAGACTTTGAGCAGCTTTAAAATCGGTCAGGATCGAACTGATATGCTCTTCAAACAGAGCGGACAATCGCAGACTCATGCTATAGATCTGCATACACAAAAATGCACATGTATTAAAATAAACTAGATGAACTGGTTTGACTATCGCATTACTGTCTGTTTTGAAAATGAAAGGATAATAATTGCTCATTGATTTCATACCCTGGACTTTTTGCTGGGTGTATAGGCTTTGGAGTTGCTGAAGATGAGACGTACATCTTTACAAAGATCCATGGGAGTGTCATACTCTCCTTCTAACAGGCGGTTCAAGACAGTCCCAAAGTCCATAGGAGTGTCCACAATGTCCAAGTAGTCCTGAGAGAGGTATTTTTGATGAACAGGGCATATAAGCAGACAGTGCACTGCAAAAAATTATTTTCTTAATCAGTATTTTTGTTTTGTTTTCCAGTACCTAAACATCCTTTAAACAAGATGTATTTATTTGACACTACTGTTCATAAAATGTTGGGGTCTCTTATGCTCACCAAGGCTGCATTTATTTGGTAAAAATAAGTGATATTGTGAAATATTATTACAATTTAAAATAACTGCTTTCCATTTTTGAAATATTTTAAAATGTAATTTATTCCTGTGATGACAAAGCTAAATGTTCAGCAGCCATTACTTCAGTCTTCAGTGTCACATGATCTTTCAGAAATCATTCTAATATGCTGATTTGGTGCTTAAGAAACATTTTTTTTTATTATTATCAAGGCTGCAAAACAGTTGTGCTGCTTGTTATTTTTGCGGAAACCATAATAAAAAAAGATTTCAGGATACTTTGATAAATAGAAAATTAATTTAGAACAAGAACCGACAGCAAGAACAGCTTTTGTTTAAAACAGAAATCTTTTGAAACACTACAAATGTCTTTACTATCCCTTTTGATCAATTTAATATATCCTCGTTGAATAAAAATAAAAATTCTTACTGACCCCAAACCTTTAAATGGTAGTGTATATAAAATCATGATAATAAGAGAAAGAGAATATATCTTACATTTATTTTTCCTACCCAGCTGACCAATTGTTTTTTTTTCTGGAATATGATTTTTTTTTTAAACTGCCAATCATCTTTTTTATTAATTTATCTTGCTTCAAGCAAGTTTAGGTATTTTTACTGGAAAACAAGCAAAAGTACTATTTAAAAATATTTCTGCAGTGTGTGTGTAAATACGCTATGTATATGTGTAGTTGAAAAAAAAATTCCCTGAACAAATTAGCGGAAAATTTATACTTTTTCATGAGTTTTTGAATTTTTGCTTGTCCAAACGTTATAAATATTGGTATGTCAACAAACAGCAAGCGGTCTGAGGCTGAGACTATGGCATCCCTCATAATTCCCACCTGTAGCTATAGGTATGAACTAGAGTTTTGTGTGTATGTGTTTTCTACATGTGTCTGTGTGTTACCGGATACTCCTCCAGATCCACAGGTTGTCTAAAAGGCTCTGAATCTTCACACTGAAAGATGAGCTCCAGCAGCTCTCTGCAGCGCCCCTTCCAGCTCTGAGGGTCTGATGATGGTTTACTGCGCAGACTCCTCAGGATAGGCTGCCGCTGCCGCCTCTGAAATGGAAACACACTCTCAATTAGTCATGATTACCAGATGTAAACAATCTCTATGTATAATCAAATCTAATCTTATCTTATGTTAAACTTGTATAATATCAGTTAAAGTTACCTTCTTATTGCGGCTAGATGTACAAGGTGCCTCATGCTCTTCATCCTCATCTTCATCCTAAGTTGGGAAAAAGGTGTCAATCAAGTCATGTTAAGTACTGACATAAAAATATGCACATTTATATTTCATGAATTCCAAGTGCTTGCAAGGCAGCAAAAGAACTGTGTTAAAGGCACAGTAGTAATGTATTAAATCTCTTTCACATATAAGTGGTTTACGAGTGTGTGTTTCAATGGCACTTACATCGCTTGAATCTGAGAAAGTGTTTTTCTTCATACTGTTATACAGTGGAATAATATCTGTACAGCTTTGGTCCCTAAAGAACACAGACATATAGACAGGCAGTTGAAAAGCAGCCCAATGTATGGCTAAAAGCTAGGGATGCACTGATGCATCGGCAATAATCAATTTCATGTTTTTCCATTAACTAATATATGGACGATATTAAAATGTATACTATTTTGTCTAAATGAATAAAAAACAAAACACTATAATAAAAAAAACTAAAATCGATTAAAAAAACTGTTTAATTTAATTTAAATGCTACAAGTGAATTTCTGCATCACAGCATTATAACAATGTCAATAATGGATATTAAATTTGAGATTTGCTAAATATTAAATTTAAGAGTGTTAAATCATTAGTGTTTTTTAAATATTAACTTTAAGTGAGCATTACATGATTGCAAAAGCAATATAAAAGTAAAAATACAGAAAATGAACATGCGTAACTGACTATACAATATTTAACAATACATATAAATTAAAATGATAATGACTGATAATCCATTTGCTATCGATATATTGTGCACCCCAATTCAACACCACTGGTTTGGTTTTATTTGTAATTTTTATCTGTGATTAACTTACTTGATAAATTGTAGCATGAGGTCAGATACGAATTTGGCAGTTTTAACAATGAATGCGCCTGGTTCATTGAAGGTTTGAGCGTTGTGTTCAATGTAGCGTACCTCCCACATCAATGACGACATTCTCCTGACAAAGGCAAGCAAATAACAGATGCACATATAATTTGATATGATCTACTTTAGAAGTACACACTAATTTTTGGAATATATCAAGAGTTTATATACGTAGGTATTTGACTGTCATGTCCATTCAGAGTTTGTGCTGACCTATAGAAACGGTTCTGTAGTCTTTGTCGGATGGTGCTCAGATCTGTGACGTAAGCAACTACGGTGCAATACGTTGGATATGCCTGCAAGTCCACTGGCAGTTCAAATGGTACAGCCACATCTGAAGGAAAGAAAGAACTACTGTTATATTCCATCCTTTTTGGACACAACCATAGTAATAAAAATGAGCTATCATGTAATGCTAAATGAAAACGTCATACCCAAAGTGCAAAGCTGGTCGATGCCTCTGATGATGCGTTCACACTCTTCGTCACGTGTGCATGAGCCCCACTCTCCTTCTAGGGGCTTGCACAATAATGCCTTCTGCTCCTCCTCAGTTAGAGGCACACTCAGACCTAACTCGTCAGGAAATGCTGCTGCAGACAGACGGAGAAAATGAGATGGAGGAAAACAAGAGGCAGACAATCACAACTCAGTTTGGATTGGTTATTTAAACAATGCCAGCTAGACATATGAACAGTCTCAATCTGATGGTTGCCATGATTGCGGCTACCATGTTTGTGTGTGTGTGTGTGCGCGTCTGGTTTTGCCTAATGTCACCACAAGGACAGTAACAACCTGAAATCAGTAACACTTTGGGCACCTGGCAACAGTTCCAAATAGGAAAAGTTTGCTCAATAAACATGCTCAATTATGTTTTAATGGAAATGTAAAAAATAAAATACAAAAAACCAAAGGTCACAAAGCCAATCACCTAAGGAACCACACTCAAGGTCTTTTATTAGAGCTGAAAATATTTTAAAATATGGGAGTGTGATACCCTGTATGAAATCATAGCCGAGTTATATTTCTCAACATGTGCTTATGTGCTTTTGCTGTGAAAATGAATGTGCTATGAGATTAATTAAATGTTTAACATCATTAAATTTACCACAGTTAATGCATTTATCTAATGTGATCTTACAACAGTAAGATCTAGTTGTATCAGCACAGGTGGTTCAATACACACCCAAAACAATCTTACATTTAAAAATGATGGGGGGGGGGGAATATTTTTACCTGAAATCTTTAATTGATCCAGGTGAAATATACAAGTCATAATTCATATAAAAGTTTAGGATCAGTAACATTTCTAAAAGTTTTGAAAGAAGCCTCTTATGCTCACCAAGACTGCCTTTATTTGATCAAACATACAGTAATATTGTAAAATACATATATTTTTCAGGATTCTTTGATAAATAGAAAGCATTTATTGAAACTGATTTTTCTGTAACAATGTAAAAGTCTTTATGTAAAAATATAAAAGTCACTTTAGATCAATTTAATGCACCCTTGCTTTTATTAGATCTTTTTTATTAGTAATAAAAGAGCAGCTAGAAAAAAAGTACATTAATTTGCAAGCTTTCACAGAATTGTGAAATTACACATATAATCTCTATATATTTATTTCTAGGCAAATTAAAGCAAGTTTAAATTAACTGTGTTCAAAGCAAAAAAAAAAAGAAATATATATA